CCCAAGGTTCCGCCGCTAGCAATCTCTTGATCATTGGAGGGTTCACCAACGACCTCTTCCATTTGGGGGGCCGGTCGAGGTTTCCGTCCGGAGGGCCAAACCAACCCCAAGGTAGATCGAGATGGTCGATCAAGTCTTATGGAGACATTGTTACAATGTACCAAGAATTGACCAGGTCGACCGGCCAAGGCGCCACTCCCGCGGCAGAGAAGGTCTTCGACTGCATGTACCTTGGGATGATGGCATCCTTGTGGAGCGATTAAGAGTCGGTCGGAAGGGTAGATTGTTGTTTTCAACCGTGGGCGCGTTCGTTTCCTTCTCCGCGGACGCCTCAGTCTCCGAGTAAGACGTCCCGAACATCGCTTGCTTCAGCTAGAGGCCGGAAGCCGAGGGGTACTCAGGGAGGGAGTAGACATCGGAGGAAGACTTGAAAAATTTGTATTAATGAGGCGTCGACCAAAGGGACGAGACTTGGCCAGGGCCTCCCGAAGCTTCTCGCTGTCGTCGCTGAGGTCGTCGTCCGAAGACTCAAGCACGACAGGGGAACGACCACCAGAGACCGCCGACGGTGGTATCGCAAAGGCGTCGGGCTTCGGAAGCTTGGGAGCTTTGGCGGGTACCCGGGATGACGGCCGCCGGGACCGTTTACCAAGAGCTTTCGCCGGCCGCGAAGGGGAACATGCGGCCGGGGGCGAAACTGCCGAAGGAGTAGCTGGTCCCGGAGGTGGCCCGTCAGAGAAGTCGACATGGTCGAGCTCTGCGGCGAGAAGCGAGTACCGGCTTCGGATGTGGTCGACCTTCCATCGCAGACGGTCCACCAGTGCAGTCTCGCGCTGGAGAGCTTCGCGAAGTTGGGCCACCAGCCGGGACTTGTCGCGCAGTGCCTCCTCCAACCGCTCACAACGAGTGGCCAACAAGGCGGCCGAAGGGGGAAGGACACCTAGCCGACCCTCGCAGTCTTCGATGCGGCGGGAATGGGCGTCCGCGAGGGCTTGCAATTCCCGCAGAGCTGCCCGTACGTTGACGGGTGCGGAAGACGGACGGTCAACCATGGGGGTCGGCGTGACAGGAGCATCTGCTGTCTCGGCAGGAGGCAAAGCGGTGGAAACAGGAGAGCTGTGAACGACAACAGTTTCAGCAGCACTCGACGGCGAAGACACCGGCCCGGGAAGGTCGGCCAAGGACGCCTCTCTACATGGAGAGGCAACCGAAGGCGCGACGGCGATTAAAGTCGGCTCTTCAGACGTTGGGTCAGCGGACGGTGGGTCAGCAGATGAGGGGTTAGAACCAGGGGCGATTTAAGGCGCTGGGGCGACCGAGGTAGGCTCTTCAGTCGGTGGATCAGCGGACGGTGGGTCAGCAGACGACTCTGGACCAGTTAATACAAGGAACAGACCAGTCGACGCAAGGAATCAGAGCTTCAGGCAAGGATAGAGTAAAGGAGCTAAAAGGATAGGAATATATTAAATACGACTCAATTTGCGATCTACTTGGCAAGTAATCGTCGCGCTGTAAAGGAACTCTAATCTGGCCACACGCCTGTTCCGGGGAAGGGATATATTTGGCCCCCCCCCCCCCCGTTGAAGACAGGCGTGTGGTCAGACACAAGTGCGAGCTGAACCCCACATGGCACGAATCCGTCACCCAAGAAGAACTTGCTCTAAGCTACTTACTGTTCCGGGAAGGGATATATTTTGGCCCCCCGTCGAAGACAGTTGTGTAGCGAAGTTCAAGTGCGAATAGATCTCCAGAATATATTTGGCCTGTGAGCTCGTTCGAGTAGCAACACCCCCCAAGACCCGCTATCGGAAGCGGTCTCCCTCACCTCAAGGTCCGGGAGCAACGTAAAGGTCAGGTGGTTAATACCCCTGAAACAGAAGGAAAAGGCCAGGGACGACAAGCGCCCCTGAAGGATTTGGCTCTAAGTCCACTCTCGACAAGGTCGATCGAGTGGCCACCTACCGGCCCACCGAGTGAAGCATATCCACTAGAGGCCCCCCAGGTCTACCTCCCTCAAGGCAGACATCTACATCGTCACCAAGTCCTCCGAAGAGTGCAACCCGCCAGCCGACGGGTACCCAAGGTGAGAGAAGGTCCATACGCGGCATCGGGGTACCCCCTCCGGCAGTCGGCAGTCCGGCACAGTGAGTGGTTTGGGGTCTCATCATACAATTTTGAGAACCCACTTCACCCCACTTTAGTTCGAACAGAAACAGATCCCACGTCATATCCGAGAGATTTACTACCTCCTCGGCAGATGCCAAGACAAGTTGAGCACCTCAACTGAGGATGCCTCCGGCATTTTGTCTTCGACGGCCTCGAACAACTCGTTCGTAGGTCCGTCCTCTTGGACCGAGACTGATCCAAGGGTCACTCGTTTCGACGTGCCCTTTATCGTCTTAATACGTCTGGTGCTCGTTCTTCGAGTCACCACTAACTTTGACGTGGAAGAAGGTGTCGTTGCTGTATTAGCTAACGCATTCCTTCCAACCGCACCAGGCTCTTGGCTCTGTGCCGGTTCTTGTGACGTTTGACTTCCTGTCAGCCCACCATCAATTGCCACAGGCTCTCGGCTCTGTGCAGGACCATTGGACGCATGACTACCTGTCATCGCCCCATTCACTACACCAGCCTTTTCGACCTAGGTAGGAATATGTATCACCTGGCTTTCCGCCAGTGCACTTCCAACTAATACTCCTTTCGTGCTGGGTAGTTCCTGGTGTCGATTGACATACCGTCATCGCACCCTCCACTGTGTTGGACACAGCATCAGCCACATAAGCCTCTCGCAAGAGCACATCCTTTCCGGTGTCTTGCGTAGAGCTAGCGACTGTGCGTGTACGCCAGTCTATCCATGGTTGGTGTTTAGCCAACCAAGGCATGCCTAGGATGAGGTCATACGGACTCTCCATACCTAGCACTGTGAACTTCTCTTTACAGGAGAAGTCACTGAAACTGAATGCGAGTTCAGCTTGAACTCCCTCCGATTTAACGAGCGCGCCGTTCTTTAAACGAACGATCGCCTTTTCTCGCCTGCCATCCTGGCAAAGCGACTCATAACTCGCCGGTCTCCTTTTCAGAGCCGCGAGTTTCACAAAGTTTTGTGATGCATCCGAATCCACGAGAAGGGTCATCACTTGGTCATAGCCTCGTACTCGAGCGCTATAGACCAAAAGATTTGAGGTCCTACCTTTCGGAACCTCAGGACTATGCTACCCATTTGTTCGATCACTTTGAACATAGGGGTAGCTTCAAAGTAGTGCATCCCACCCCGTACTACGCTCCCGCATTTCCCGACCCATCTTGGGCAGGTGCTGAACCCGTGCGTCGTGTACGCTGGTTTTTCGCACCTCCCTTCGGGTTGGGAGCCTTCTTGCTGGCTGCCTTAGCACCAGCAGCTTCTTTGGCATAGCAGAGAGCCATCATATGGCCTCGCTTGCCGCACTTGTAGCAGATCCCATCTGCATTGCCTAACTCCATAGGAGTGGCATCAGACCTCTCGGTCGACGGCCTGTAATAGGCTGTCGCCGAGGCGCTGTTGTAGGATTGCTCCTCAACTAAGGCAATGTCTTCTATCGTTGCTGGCACCTTTCTAAAAAGGTCCTGACGCGATGGGCCGTCCCTAAGTCCATTCATGAACGTGGCCACCTTGATACGTTCCGGTATCGGTTTCCCATTAATGGACGCCGACAGCGAACGCATCTCCTGCACAAATTCTTGCAGAGAGCGTTTCGCCTGTCGTGATCCAAAGAAGCGCGCCTAAACAACACTTCATCTTTAGGCGGCTGATACATGGCGCGAATCTTTGCCTTAAAGATCGCCCATGATGGAAATGCATCAGCATTTGCCATCAGCGCAGAGTATGCCCACTCTGACGCTTTGCCACGCAAGTTGGACATGGCATACGACACCATTCTGGTGTCGTCTTCGATGAGCTGCGCCACTCCACATTGCTCAACTGCTAATAGCCAGTGGACAATCGTATGTTGGTCAGTCCCATCAAACTTCGGAGGGTCCATCCGAATGGGCCACGGTTGAGTAGGCCGGGCAGAGGGCGTCTCAACAGTTCTGTTGAGAGCCTCATTACGTGCCTTCTCAAGCCTAAACTCATACTGAGCCTTATTGATGGACTCAGCGGTGGCTTGGCTGTTTACCTCGGACGCGTTTCTACGCTGTCCGAGCACAAACGCCTCAAATTGCTCCAACTGAGCAACATGTTGCTCAGGAGGACAATGCAAGAGATTGACCAGGGCTTGTTCACCAAGTCCCTGCGCCATATGCTCTGCCAACTTCCTATGATGTTGGGAGAGGTGAGGGGAGTCACTCCAGTCCATATTAAGGACCATATCAACCACACGCACGCTCCGAGAGACGGGTCGTGGGAAGGACTACTAGTGCTACCAAGTGTAGACGGGCACTTCTACGAAGTTGCCTCGTGCTACGAGCACACACCTTATGCACAAGCGAGGAAGCGGTTAGACCGTCTTACCTTTGCGTGCGAGGGTGGTTAGGAGGTTGGTCGACTGCTTAAGCAGTCGTACCACCAGTTGCCTCTCGCTTAAGCGAGAGTGCAACGAACTTCTAAGACAAGAAGGCACCGACGTCACGTAGAAGTTTCTCAACTTCTCGTGCGTGGTGCTTCGGTGTTTAGCAAATTCAAGACTGAGCTATATTTAATAAATTATAATTAAATATAAACTTATCTACTGATTGGTTATATATGTATATAGATCGGATACGCGACTCTTTTGAAGCGTATCCTGTCGCATGATCTTAAATCTAGATTTAAGATCGCAACTGACGTCCTTCTGAGACGTCGCGATGCCTAGCTTCAACTAGCGTCATCCCTTCTTATGTGAATTCATCAATGGATATCACATTCACGAGGGTGGATCACATTTGTGTATCGCACCCAAGTGACAGGTCAAAAGTAATCATGGATACTTTTGGACCAAACATTAAGTATATTACTTAATGTTTACGTGTAACTAGATGCCCTGTTACACATACTGATAGTCGATAGATGAAATTTCGACTGGATCAGCGTCAAAATTTGCCAATAGAGCGCGGCGATTCGTAGCAGCCTTAGCCCAAATGGGAATATCAGGAAGAACAGAAGTCGTGTCAATTGATTCGGAAAGAAATTTATTGAAATCCAAAGCTAAGGAGGAGGAAGCAACATCACTGATCAAGTTTTCGAGATCAGGAAGCTCATTACCCACAGACATATCGCGAGCCAAAGGGGAGGACACCGAGGCGGCATCGACCACCTGTAAAGGCGCGCGTAAAGACGAAGAGAATCCAGGAGGCGAGATCGAGGCGGGAAGCATATCCGAAGATTTCTTATCCAAAGAATACTTATTCGAAGATTTCTTATCCTAGGTACTGGTCGGGGAGGAGGTCTGGCGTGCGGCATCCGTAGCGTGGTGTACAGAACCTGCAGCTTGACGTGCGGCATCTGCAGCTTGGCGTAGCCGAATAGATGGTGGCGTAACGCGATTATAACGAAAAACTTTGTGGTTAATAATACACGCTCGTAACGACACCATACCATCTTCTGGGGACGGAAACTTAATGTCACGCAGTGGGTCAGCAGCAGCTGGAACCAGAATAGCCGGTGCCTGACCTTGACCAAAGTAAACCGTGCGTTTACGGGATGGAAGCCCGTTACGCAGAAAAGTTGGGAGAATACAAGTGAGAGGAGCCCTCTTGCGTTCATACCACTCGAAAATCATAAGGTCAGTGAGCTCATTAGGTAGGCGCACTAAGTCCACGAAGTAACGAGATCCATAATTAGAAAATCGTGCAATCTGGATATGCGTGCCAAATGCATTGAGCTTGACCAGGCTGAGTTTGGACGCCATATCGTAAGACGCACACGTAAAGCGGACTCCATAATTCGGGATGAGTTTAAAATTTTGAAGCAGACGAGCTTGGCGTGCGTCTTTCCACATCTAGGGTTGCAAATCTCTTTTGCAAGTTTATTAAGTACATCAGTCAAATCTTTCTGCTTAACGACGCCAGAGAAAGGAATTCACATGCGATGGAGTTCCGAGGACGCCACCGGCGTGGGGGCCAGCTTTAAAGCGTTAGAACGAAGCGCATCCAAGTTGTTCGAAGCCAATTCCGCCTCACTTGCCTTCAACAGAGAATCAGTTGGAAGATGGCGAGAATACTCGGGGCGTCTTGGCGTCTGTCGAAGATTAGGCATGGTGCGTGAAAAACCAGTCGCTCTCGTAAGGGAATCTCCACCACGTGCAATATGCAGGAGCCGTCAGAAAAACAGTGAGGTAGATCCAAACGGAGAGCAAAAGAGAGGTCGTAGGGATAACGACAAAGGCAGCAAAGCGAAGCGAGGCGAGGCAAAGCGCGCAAACGACCCAAGCACGAGCGCAGCAAGCAACGAAGGGTGACAAGGCACACTGGGGCAGGTCGGCGTTGGGACGAACTGAGGCCGGAGGCGGAGTCGAAGGCTGGGGCTGAAGGCGGGGGGACGACGGTCGAGCAGGGCAGGAACGTGGTCGCTGGCACCTTTCTAAAAAGGGCCTAACGCGATGGAAGAGGCAATTGACATTGCCTTAGTTGAGGAGCAATCCTACATGGCTCGTTTCTGGGCACGTGCGCGGAAAGGAGCAAATTGGGAAGTTGTGTCGACCAATTGTCTCTGTGCTGCGTGAAATGAAAGATAAGGAGATTAGTGAAACACAAATTGTGGATTAAGACCTGTTTTTGGACTCAGCACGCCCATTGCCTGACGTCGTGGTAGTACGAGTGGAAGGTGCGCTCTACTATACTAGCTGTGAGTACATCGAGCGCGTGGTGGAACGCGAGGTATGTTAACGCCATAAAGTTAATGTGGCTGTCCGCGGCGTAGTCATTGACGCCAGCTCTATGATGGAGTGGGATACTACAACATTTAGATGATGAAACCACTGAAGTCAGAGCTGCGAGGGCAAGGCATTATGCTGGATATCGCGAACGCACGCGATCGTCTCCAGCTTCTACTTTAGAGCTTTGAGCTTTTTGTGAGTATTGTGCATTGGACCCTCGCATTGAATCTAAGGAATCCATCTCTGCCATCACGTGCCGTCAGGCATTGACGCGGTCGTCCAAAGTGTCTTCCCTTTAATAGCTTGGAGACAAAAAGTAAAGAGTTGTGAGTTGTACGCAAGTGAATGTCCGTCAAGACCATACTCGACAACTGTAACGGGGTTACACGACGGTTGTAGCGTCTTTCCGAGAGTTTACGCTTCAAATCTCCTTTCTATTGCATATAATGCATTATTATACTTCTCTTTAGAGAGGTATTAAGTATGAGCGTTATAATACGGTATTCGGTAATACCGTATCTTATCGATTGGGATTCGATAAATCACTAACGCTGTATTAAGTACATCATACACAGATGTTTAGACGATACGTCGTCCAATAGCAAAGTCTGCATATAATAATTACTATTATAGTAATTAATCTAGTGTAGTGTACTTAGAGTAGGACTATTCATAAAATCTTAAAGCATAAATATAATCAGTTCTCCTTTTGAGTTTAAGATCGCAAGTCGTTCTGACTTGCTCTCTTGTGCACTCTGTGCGTTGGTTCTCTGAACCCCTAAGCTTCTAGCTTGTTCTTGCACTCTGTGCGTTGGTTCTCTGAACCTTAAGCATATTGCTTTATTGACTAAAAGTCTCTTTCCTAATTCCTTAGAACAGGGTGACTTTAAGTCGTTTAATTAGTTCCTTAGAACTAAGTGGCTTTTAGCCTTTACTCTATTTAGTTCTCTAGAGCTAAGAGGCTTCCAGCCGAAAGTCTTCCTCTGGCTAAAGAGCTGTATAGCTCCGCTACACTTTGTAGCACTAGTAGTCAATCCTACACCTGAGTCTTTAAAGACTGACCCTCTGTGAGAATGGAGAATCAAAATCACCTCTCTGAGGCACAACGACTCGCCTTAGATAAACAATCTGCGTTCGTCGGGCCCGATCAAATCGAGGCCCTTTTGGCCCAAGGCCCCGAGGTTCTAAATGCTCGTCTTGAGGCCTTTATGCGTTATGAGGCAACGCTCCTCGGGCAGGTCCATGACCAGGCAGCGTCAGCCGCGCCTATACAGTACATTCCGGTACCTGTGACCGATGCAGAGCCAAAGGCTCGTCCACTTGTTTTAAATGTAAAGACCTTCGAGGGGAAGGAGGGAGAGAATTTTTTCCTCTGGATCCGAGAAGTTGAAATGGCAATGGATGCCGCCATGCTTGTATCCGATAAGCAACGAGTTGGCTTGGCCATTTCTAAGCTCGGTGGAAGAGCTAGAGAGTGGGCTCTAACGAGCGATGTCTCTGTAAATGCTGCATTTCCCACATGGGAAATGCTTAAAAAGCAATTAACTTGGGTGTTTGCACCGCCTAATCAGGCTTATCGTGTGCGCTCACGCTTCCTAGCTACCCGACAGGGTAAGAAAGAATTGTCGGACTATGTCCAAGAGTTGAGAACTCTCATTGCTGCTATGCAGCAGGACCCACTGGCAGAGGAAGTCCGAGTAACCATTTTTATGGAAGGACTTCGCACTGAGGTCGCCAGGACGGAAGTTTTCCGTGTCCAGCCTTCAACTTTTGAGGAGGCAGTAAGCGTAGCATTTAACGCTGAATTCAATTTTAAATCTGCTCGATATGGTCTGCCCTGGTATCAATCAAATACCTCTAATAAGGCGGAACCCATGGATCTCAGCCATGCTGAAGAAGCTGAGCTTCAAGCTGCTGAACAGCAAGGTAACATCCGTAGATGTTATATGTGCGGAAGCACTAGGCATCTCCGCCCTAGCTGTCCGTTGCGAAAGCAACGTTCAAATCGGCAAAGCCGAAACCCTGCTCCTAGCCAAAAGGCGAGCACCACAGGGGAAAACGTCAACTCCCAGTAGGCGCGGGGCGCCCTACTGGGAAAGAACTAAGTTCTGTTGAATCTTTAGGAGGTAAAGGTAAACAGGGCTTAGCCCCAGGTGGTTCTGTGGATGCTCCCATAGAACAAAATTACAAGCCAGGCTTGTTGGTTGTGTCGGCAACCGTTAAGGGTTTTGAGGAACCATGGTCAATTTTAATTGCCTCAGGGGTGTCAGGGAATTATGTCCGACGTCGCTCCCTTGAGGGGAGTCAGCTGTATTCTGAGGCGCTAGAAGCGCAAGAGGGTGACAGTATAACCGTACGTCTCGCTACCGGTGTACGTGTCACCGTTCCTAAAGTTCCGTTGAACTTAGGTGTGAAGTTCTTAGACTTCAATAGCGTTGAACGATGTCTTGTCCTAGATTTGGACTCGAGATATGATCTCATTCTCGGTATGGCCTGGCTGGAACGCCATGAGCCGTGGATCGATTGGAGATCCAAAACTTTAGGCGCAACGCGCGATGTTCCTAGCGAAGCTTTGGAGAGTCATGAACCCACCTTCGCTAGAAAACAAAAGTGCTATTGGCGCGAGCCATTAATTGATTCAGTTAGTGTGCTGGACATTGGAGTGTCTGAGTTGATAAACTCCGATGTCAACAATAATAGTGTCGAGCAGAGCTCAATGACACTTAGTGGAACGGCACGTATTCCGTTGAGTGATACTCAAAGTAATATTGAGACACTGGATGTCGGTAATGACATCGGCTCTCGTATAGAGCAAGTGAAGGTCGATGACCTTGTTAGTGATATTGGCTGTAAATGCGATTCACTGGATGTCGATAATGACATCGGCTCTCGTATAGAGCAAGTGAAGGTCGATAACCTTGTTAGTGAAGTCACTGGTACTAGTGACCCACTGGGTGTCGGTAATGACATTGGCCCTCGCATAGGGCAGGTAAACGACAAGGGGTCTGTTGACCTTGGGGATGATAATATCCCAAGTACTTTGAAAAGTACGGTCTCGTCAATGAGACGGCAGCGTCGCCAGATGGCGGCTGCGAGACGCAAAGCGTCTGTTTTATCGCATAGTAATGTCAATGACCAGTTGTACACCCTGGTCAACGGAGTGACAGGTGATGTAGATGGTGAGGTTGACCTTGAGGCCCTCCCATCATTAAATGCTCTTTTAGAGCTAGACGAAATGTCTGTGGATGAATTTCATCAGGCCTTGAAGGCAGGTGCTCTATCCGATATGGTGGTCATTCGACCTAACCTCGAGCTGAACTCATCCTCGCTTGTCGATGAGACAGTCCTTGAAAATACCAAAGCGGCACTAAGTGCACGTAGTGGGGCATCTATTCTGAAAAACCCTTCAGATCCCTACTATTCTTTGGTAAAGGAATTCCAGGACGTGGTGTGTCACGATCCACCGTCGGTTCTACCACCTGATAGGGGCGTACGTCATGAAATTGACTTGGTTCCCGGAACCAAATACTGTGTAACACGGCAGTGGCCTTTACCCAAAGAACAGTGTGACGTCATTGACGAGTTCTTTCGTGCAAAGCACGCGGCGGGCATGGTGCGCGAGAGCAAATCTCCACACTCGACACCCACTTTCTGTGTTAAGAAACCAAATGGTAAATGGCGTATCGTTTATGCTTATAATAAGCTCAATGCAGCCACTATACCTGCACAGACGCCAATACCTAGAAAGGATGTTCTTCAGAACAATATGGTCGGTTTTACCATGTACAGTGCGCTCGACTTAGTCGATGGTTATTACCAATTACTCCGGCTACGTTTAACCGTTTGGTGACGCAATTGTTTCGACCCCATCGAAGTTATGCACAGACGTATTTTGATGACATTTTTGTCCATAGCCGAGCTGAACATGGGCGGTCAGATATTGAGAACCATATTGTTCATTTACGAGCAGTGCTCGAGTGCATGCGCACTAATAAATTATATGCTAATGCATCTAAGTGCATCTTCGGAGCCGA